GTTTATTAGTGTGTGCGAAACTTAGGCTTGCAGAAGGCGGCGGCCAGCTCTAGACATGCCATGGCATCGCCGTCACACTGGCCACGCGACAGACTACCTAGATAGCGGCGGCGGGAGCGGTGTGTGGCCGGGATGTGTTGATGGTGGATACCTCGGACTGGAACGTTGGGAGCGCGTCATGGTCGTGTAGTGCATCAACCATGTGGGTGCGCGGTGATCTAGCCAGGGTCTGGGCTGATCCCGGAAAGCTTGGTATTCCGACCCCATCCACCTAACACGCTCGGACGCCTTGCCAGCCGCTTGTATACACCACGCATACACACGTACACTACACACATAAACATTAAATGCATTCAAACTACAATCGGCAGATCCATTGTCGGTCCATCAATGGCAGTCGCTCCTCTCTTCAATAAAGCATGTGCCGTCTACCGGGGCATCCCCAGCAGCATCCCGCCCTACGACTTCTTTGTGAACTGGCTGAGCTTTTCCTGCACTGCTTTTTTGACATCAAACCCCTGTGTTATACTGCCCCTCCGTCTTCTCAGTTCTATCTCGGCTTTCACCTCGGCCACAATCTCATCCACTACCTTTTCTGGGTCATCGGCAATACCCAAAAGTGGCATCTGGTGTTGACTGCCGACACCGGACATACTATCTGCTGACGCAGTCCTAGCCAACCTTTCTTTCCGAATTTCCTCTCGTGCGGCCTTCTCGATCGCAGGGTCATCAATTTGACTGGCTGGTTGTGCCGGTGGTACACGGGCAGCTTGGCGCTGCACAAGCATCTTTCGAAATGGAAAAGAACGGGAGAACAGGGCATAGGACGCTGCGACGCCGATAAGTGCGTAAAAGTAGACGCGTGCCCAAACTTTGATCGTGTCTGAGAAGCCCAGCAAGATGAAGGGGGCGACGACAAAAGCAAAGACGGTTTGTGTCAACACCATTGTAAACACATCATAGTACCGCTTCGAAGGTAAGGGCGATTTGCCATCAGGAGTCAAGAAAAGTGGACGAACCAAGCGGCGACCGTCTACACATGGTTAGCATGCCTCTCAATTAAAGTTTTGTGGGGAGACTGACTCTTTGCAGCAGTCTGTACAAATGCCGCTAGCACAAAGGCCAGGTAGTAGCCAGGGTAAAAGCCATGCCAGAAGGCGCTCGTAACAAAGGTTGCCAAGGTAGCTCGAAAGCCGGGCTTCTGGCCCTTTGGAGTTACGCGCAAGTACATGTAATTCTTCAGCCACGAGTTCGTATTAATGTTCCAGTAGCCAAGGTAAGCTCGTGCATTTTGAGCCTTCTCAATCTCCAGCGGCATAATGTTGGTGAGACGGTCCCATTTTGGTCGATGTGTCTTGGGGTCTAGACCATTGTAGCCGATGCCAGACAGGATGCATGCTCCTTCTGACAAGCTCCACACGGCATAGTACTTCATACGGGTAGTAAGTCCGAGCATATACAACTGCCACACCCTGCGCAAGAAGGTGTAGTGCATCCACTCGCCACCGAGGTAGAAGGCGGGGTAGTACCAGCTTGAGAACTTGATAAAGGCAACTAGCCAGAGTGTACCGTACGCAGCTTTGATGGCAGCCGGCACTCCGCTCCGAGGAATCTTGCGCTTCTTTCGCGTTGGCGGGGCCCGGGAGGGATCGGTGCCTGGCGGGAGGGTGAACATGGTGGTAGATATGTACTGGCTGTAGTCGGCATAATCGAATGCAGGACCAGCCATAAGACCTGGGAAGAAGAAGACGTAGCCCGTGTAGTCGAGGAGACTGGGCATGGTGCAGATGGCGTGTTCGCGTTGGAAATCAGTGAGGTCCGAGTCAGCAAGACGGCCGTCTTGCACGTTCCAGCAAAAGGCGGTAAGCTTCATCACCATGACCATCTGGGCACCGGTTATGTCAAAGACGGAGGGATTATTGACAGCCTGGCGGTAGATGTGGTTGACAGACATGTGGCCCATGAGGAAGACGAAGCCAATCCAGGGCATGTAGGGGGAATGGATCTTGGATGCAATTAGGTAGGCACCGCCCGCACTGATGAAGATTGTTCGCAAGCCAGCCCATAGGTCAAAAAGACCAACTAGGTAGAACATGGACACACTAGATCTATGAACAGGGTACTATAAGATACATGGATATGTCATACGTACCTGATGACGAAGAGGTTCTTCTTCCATGGGTCCTTGTCAGGTATCCTCTTGAGTACAGCCGCAAGTGGATATGACAGGTAGAAAGAAAAGACGAGTTTTACTAGCCAAGGTCAACCATGGGCCAAGCAGATATGATGCTGAGGCTTCTCACGCTCGTCTGCCGAGTTCCCAAGTATGCTGGCAGCATACTCGAATGCTTCACAGTTGGTCAGTGCAAGTGTCAGCATTTGGGCTTCGCCAACACGTACGAGCATTAATGTAGGGCAACATGGTGCCGAGTGGGAGGGTGGAAAGGAAGAGGTGCTACCCAGGGCAGAGGCGGATGGAATATCGGACGAGAAGAGTGGTATTATAGATAATATGCCATCTGGGTAGTGGTAAGGACAAGTGGACGGGTTGGAGTCGAGCAAGGTACGAAATGTGCACATGGCCAAGGGATGCGCAGAATGACGTTGGCGTACTCAGTGGTCGTGGGCCCGTGGGTCGTGCGGAAGCGCTCGACGCTGAGTGGCTGGAGGCTTTGCAGTGCGGATAACCCACGCGACATCACCACATCACGACACTGCGCCATCGACGAGCAGGCAACAGGCTTTGCGAGGTAGACGGTCGCCATGAGCTCGACATACAACCTCGAGCCCAATCCTACGGCCAAGGTGGTGCTGCACACCACCGCCGGCGACCTGGAGCTGGAGCTGTTCGCCAAACAGACGCCCGTCACGTCGCGCAACTTCCTGCAGCTGTGTCTCGATGGCTACTACGACAACACCGTCTTCCACCGCCTGATCAAGGGCTTCATCATCCAGGGCGGCGACCCCACGGGCACCGGCCAAGGCGGCCAGAGCAGCTACGATGGCGAGCCTTTTGCCGACGAGTTCCACAGCCGCCTCAAGTACACGCGCCGCGGGCTGCTAGGCATGGCTAACACAGGCACCAAGGACGACAATGGCAGCCAGTTCTTCTTCACTCTCGCCCCGACGCCCGAGCTGCAGGACAAGAACACACTGTTTGGCCGCGTGGCCGGCGACACCATCTACAACCTCATGAAGATGGCCGAGGCCGAGATCCGCGACGGAAGCGACGACCAGCCCATGTACCCAACAAAAGTCACAGGCGCAGACATTATTGTGAACCCATTTGAAGACATGGTCCGTCGGGTACAGACTGCTGCACCCGCAGAGGCAGAGACCAAGAAACCCAAAAAGCCTAAGAGGAAAGCCGGCAAGAATGTCCTCAGCTTTGGAGACGACGAGGACGCCGCTGGTTCTGCGCCCGTTGCGAAGAAGCCCAAGTTCAACACCAAGCTAGTCAGTGCAGGCGATGAGAAAGCACCATCCTCCAAACCACCAGAGCCAGCAAAAGCTATGCCCATACGCAACTCATCTCGCAACTCGCCTCGCAAATCGCCTCACAACTCTCCCTCGCTACCTCCTGAGCCCAAGCCTGCACAGAAACAGGCCCCCAGGTCATCTCCTGCGCCCAAACCCCGCTCACCCCCACGAGAATTGTCGCCAGAGGCCGAGAGACAAGCAAAGCTTGACCGCGTGAACCAACAGATTGCCGACCTCAAAGCCTCGATGAAGCGGAGCACACAAACTCAAGATGCAGCGCCTGTCAAGAAAAAGTCTCTGCTCGAAGCCATGGTACCCTCAACAACCACCCGCGGACGCAAGCGCGGTGCTGGCGGAAACTCAAAAGACGAGCAATCCTCGTTAGACATCTTGGCGCGCTTCAAATCCAAACTCGAGGCTGCAGAGCCAGCCACAATATCCAAATCGGCCACTTCAACACTGCCCGAAAACACGCCAAACGAGAATGGGGACGGACATGGCAACGGTGGTGACCAAGACGACGAGGCCGCATGTGACCTGCATTTCATAGTAGGCTGTCAGTCGTGCAAAGCCTGGGACGCTCAAGAAGACGAGGGTTCCGACGACGATGCAGGCTGGATGTCCCATTCGCTCAGTTTTGCAAAAGACAGACTAGGCAAAGACCTTGAATGGAAGCGGAAGAACGAAGAAGAACTGCTAGTCATAGATCCAAGGGAGGAAGCAAAGAGACTCAAAGCCCAAGGTAAGGGCAAGAGAGAATGGGACGATTCCAAATCCAACAAGATAAGGCGATGAAGTAGCCATGTTGCATAATAAAGCATTTTTGAGCAAAGAGTTCGTATTTAACTAGGGCTTGTACGCTCTTTCAAGTCCCGCTTGGCGTTGACTATAAAAGCATTTATACCCAATTCATATCGATTATTCAGCGTCTTAGCTGTTTCCTAGACGTGTGTTTGCTACCTATGCTCTTCTCCATGCTTAGTCGCTTATGAAAATATATCTTTCCAACCATCATTCGTTAACTAAGACATATCGCGCCATGGCATAGACAGGCAAACGTAGTGAGTGTTCCTCTTCTATGTCATCCCTTTGTTACCACGTGCTGCCGGCGTGAAGACGGGAAAGTGAGAAGGCAAGACTAATGTTTTGCTATTCACTTTCACTCACTTGCACGAGCTATCTGCCGCCTGTATATCTTCTACGTTCTCTTTGCAGCCAAGCTACACCACAACCACACCACTCAACTCTCACTGCAATTTGAGATATCTTGCGCATATCCACTCCAAGAATCTTTCGATCACCAGTAAAGTAAGTTATGACCACCAGCGAAGCTTATCAGCTTCGCACGTTGCAGTTGTTGCGCGGGAGCAGTCATCCTGCACAGCGCTCAAGATAGCTTCTTGTGGCAATGCATTCGTCTTGCCTAGGTCGTTCTAGGTCGTTCTATACATGCATAGCCTCTATCTTGTCACAAGTTTACCTCCAACTCTCACTAACAGCACACAGTCTTCGTTGCCGCCATGCCTACTAACTGGAACGACATCAAAGTCATTGAAGGTGTCCTTGTGGCATACCTTGCTGCCAACGACAACAAGGTACGTCTTTTTTTCTTCTCCGCTGATTCCATATGCTATTGTACTAATCCGTTCACCAAAGATCGACCTTCGCAAAGTCGCGCGACTTTATGGCAACAGCATGACCTTTGATGCCCTCGCGTGCCATTTTAAAGCTTGGAAGAAGCAGGCTACAGCTCTCAAGGCCGCAGCTGTAGATAACACTGTCGCTACTCCCAAGAAGCTGCGTGCCAAGAATAGCAGCAGCCCTACAAAGAACACTAGCTGCAGTGCTTCCAAGAAGAGTGAGTAATATATCCAAAGCGTCATTGCATTGCTAACCAGTGAGTAGCTGACAAGGTCCAAGCTGGTCGAGTGAGCAAGAACAAGTCAGTTGGAAGCGGCAACGTCAAGATGGAGGATCTTAGCGATAACATCCATGTCATGATCGATTCCGAAGATCAGTTTGAGTGCATCTAAGCACTGGGAAGTCGAAAGCATCCTAGTGTTTTCCTCTTATGGGGTAGATAACAGAAATGGTGCGGATGACCAACGTGCTAAGGAGTGGGGTTTATGTCGGACAGCTAGTGTCACTCTCTATATGACGGGGTGATCAGAATGCAGAGTACTTTCCATGGCATAAATTCGAATCACATCTGCAAGTTTAGTCTCTTGCTTTTATTCGTCTCCTTCGCCCTGTGACCTACCTTGCGTGATGCTAAAGTGGGCATGGCGTTCCACGTGACTGCGCGTTGGCGCTATTCCTGGTTGGCACATTCATGCATCTCAGTCTTAGCCTCCTACATCCTTCCCTGTAAACATTAGCTATTTTATTAAACTTGCAAATTGATATCCTAAGAAAATGAAGGGCCTCTTTGTTCCTGATGGCGGAACACCGCGTGCTCGTTGGAAAGCACTCGGGTGTAGTATCCGTCCCTCGCTTTCATACATCTTGATAAGCATCATATCCTTCGCGATTATGGTACGTTTCTGAATTTCAAGCCTATCACCCTCCTGGAAAGACCAAAAATCTCAAGATATCCCATCTAGTATCTCTACACGTCATTTGGCCATGACCACGTATTCCCCACCTCTCAATTTGCAACTTTCCACAAGTGCTCAATCAACACCTATCTATCTACTGGCCTGGACTTCCTAGACTCAGCAGAACCACCACCACTAGAAGAATACATAATTCGACGCAACAACCTCGCCAAAGCACTTGTTGCCGAAAACGTGGATGCATTCGTGGTAGAACCAGGGTACACGTTCAGTTACTACGCAAACGTGACACAGCAAGACTGGGAGCCCTGGGAGCCCGAAGAACGCCCATTTTTGATGATTGTTCGGCCCCAAACGCTGGGAGGCGGGGATATCGTGGCTAACACGTCGTTCTTGGTGCCGAGCTTCGAAGAGACGCGTGCGAGGCTGCTCGATATGCCGTTTGAGCATGATATCCACACGATTACGTATCAAGAGCATTGGGACTACTACACCACGCTTTACCTCTCTGAGATCTGGGGGGAGAACCTATCGCCCAAGGTCATGGTTGACGAGGAGATACGCGACTTTATTCAACGCGGGCTGGCGTCAAATGGCTTTACTGTCTCTGGCTTGGCTGGCGAGGTCGAAGCTGTGCGACAAGTCAAGACGGAGCGCGAGATTGGCAATCTGAAAGCTGTTAATACGGGGACAGTGGAAGCTATTCGTGCCATGAGACAGTGTCTCTACCGTGGTGTGACGGAGAATGAGGTCAGACATGTGTTGAACGATACGCTACGAGCCGCTGGGCTCGACCCGTTTTTTGATATTGTGGAGTTTGGAAAGAGCGCTGCCTTGCCACATGGCGGGTATGACGGGACCAGGAAGTTAGATGCTGGTATGTTTGTCCTCATTGATGTTGGCGCAAAGCTATATGGGTACAGTTCGGATGTAACTCGCACATTCTATGCACCGTTTGAACCAGCGCCGCCAGTGACGCCGGAACACAATAGAACTGAGCAGCTAGAGGTTTGGCAGCTTGTGCTAGATGCACAGGCTGCTGCTGTCAAGGCAATGGTACCGGGCTCTACGGCCGCCTCGGTCGATATTGCCGCACGCGACATTATCCAAGTTGCAGGCTACGGCGATTACTTTACCCACCGCCTAGGACATGGCATCGGCATCAAGGCACACGAGAGTCCATACCTTAACAAAGGCAACTCCGTAGCCACATTACGCCCAGGCATGGTCTTCACCGCCGAACCTGGTGTTTATCTTCTCAACAAATTCGGCGTGCGTCACGAGGATGTCCTTGTGGTCAGGAAGAATGGGGAAGCGGAAAACATCAGTGGTGGGTTTGCAAAAGGACCGTGGCAGCCTTGAACACGGCCGGATTTTATAGCAAACTCGAATGATTAGCTATAGCCTAAGCCGGAAGGGTTATCTACTGCATTTTTGTTATTACACTGTTCAACGTAACCCCGACTCATGTTCGCCACTCGGCGAACCTTCTTCTTCTTGGGCACGCAACTTTCATTCTGTTTTCTCGACGCAAAAGCTTGCTTACAATGGCCATTGAAATACGTGCAATCCTTCCATGCGGTGGTATCCCCAATATTGTCCAATCCCTCAGTACGCCGTAAGCAGATAGATGATCATGAGATGTCGCCCTCCAAACGCCTCGCGCTAAATCCCCATGTCAAATCAGGAAGAAAGAGGAGCACTCCGCTCCATCCACCCGCCCGGGGCGCCCACGATCAAGTGAGACTGAATTGGAATAGGCGGTTTGGACAGGTGTCGTACTACTTCGTCTACTTTCTGCCCTGCGAGGGCAAAATTACGTTAGCACGGGAACAAATATGTACTCATACATCAATGGTAATAGACAATTATAAAGCGCAGCACATGTTTCAAGGCGAGGAAGAGCCAATGTGCGTGGGGTAGGTGGAGGTACCCTGTCCAGGATAGCTAGGCCGTGCGGGCTGCGCGGGTCGATACGAATGATAAGCGTGGCGCGATGGGGGTGTAGATGGAGGACGGGAATATTCCGGGCGTACGTTGGCAGAACTCGAGTGGTAGACTGGCGGTGGTGGCGGGCGCCTTGTAGTTGCCAAAGGAGGCAACTGGTACCGACGCGATGCATCTGGAATGCTATTGGGGGTAGTAGTATACGCTACCTTTTTAGTTGGCCTCGTTGGCTCTTCATCATCGCTCAACGTCAGGTCGACAACCTCAGAGGTCCTCTTTTGGGTGGAGCGAGGGGCAGTGGACGGCTCTCGAGAGGGCAACGGAGGCGTACTGAGCGAGGTAGGGGTTGGTGCGGCTTCACTCTTGATAGCCTGGACGCGGTAGTCAGTGATCTCAACGAGGTCATCGTCACTATCGTCGTCATGGTTGTTATGCTTGGGTTTTAGGTCCTTTTCGGTCGACCACTCGCCGTTTGGCTGGATAGTGACCTGGTCCGTATTGCGGGCTTTGCTCAAAATGTCCTGAACGTATTCATCAACAGCAAGTGCTTCGAAGGATATAGTCTTGTTGCATATCGGGCAGGTCCATGTGGGCGCTTGCTCCTGGAGCTGGAGAAAAGAGTCGGCATCGAAGCATTGGTTGTGTGTGCAGACTGTAGATCTGCAGGGAGTGACGATTCGCAGAGTGGAGATTGGATCTTTGAGTGACATGACGCTCGATCCCACTTCGATGTCTGGGTCATTGGCCTTCTTCATCACTAATGATGGGTCAGTTGAGCTTGGTGCTGGACGCGCAAGGGGGGTGCCTTACTCTCCTCCAGCACAGATCCCCTAGTTATGACATTGCGGCGCTTGATACGCTGGGTCAATTCTTCGACGGAGAATTTCCGCACCAAGTAAACAAATAGGTTATATTTCTGCAAAGGACTATTAGCTTGGAGTCACATTTCAGAGGAGTTCGAGTGGAAAGAAACCTCTGGTTGACTTGCCTTCTGGGTCAGGGCATAAGTGATAAGGAGGCTGTTGCGCTGATTGGCGACTTTTGTGCGGACAAAGTCTGTAATATCAGCCGGACGTGTCGAGCCTGGCTTGTTCTTGAGGCCCTTGTAGTTTGCCTTGACCTCTGCATCGTTGACCTTGACTTCGATCTGAGAAGGAAATGCAATGTCGAGACGCGAGTAAGGAGCCAGTGGCTGCTCAAGCGCAGAAAAGAGCAGCAGTCGCAGGGACGGGTCGGAGTTTAAGCGCCCTGTCTGAGCCTCATTCAGGGTAAGACTCTTTGAGAGCGTGGCTCTGTGAGTTGGAGAAGCTAGCATATGGTTAGCTTATAAGAGCAGATGGCGGCGAGAAGGGCAAACATGCCTTCTAGCGACATGTTTGTGAGCACGAGCTCGCGTATCTCGAAGAAGGGGCTATCTTTGAAAAAGTACGTGGGACCTGCTGTCGTCATCAGTACTACTGCAGCTGGGCACGCGGGCGCAACGGGGGCCAACGTACGAGAGGGCAGTGTGGGCTGGTGGTGCTGGTGCGGTTGGCGCGCGCCATTGGACTGGTATCCGTTGGACATGGCGTAGCCGTTTGCAAGGGGCGGGGGTGGTTGCGAGTATGGAGGAGCAGCCGGACTGGTTGCTGTTGGGGGCGGCGCTTCACCGTGGTGCTGGACGCGATGGTGCAGGCGGCGCAATTGCTCGTGGTCTCTTCTAGAGACGGCATCGGTGATTACTGGTGAAGGTGAGTGTTAGCAGTACGAGGGGTGAAAAGCATCGAGGCGGCGCCCAGAACATGTACGTACAATCAATGACGCGAGCTTGAAGGGCAGCCTTGTTGCCCGTCTGGGCCTTGCCCTCCTCTTTCAGGATCTTCTTGAGGTCGTTGTTGATGAGTCTCTTTGAGCGCTCCGTGATGGTGGCAGCCGTGTGCTGCAGCGTCGCCTCCATGCTGGGTGTGCGTATGCGTGTGCGAGGACGAGTGGATGGGTTCTGGTGTCGCGGTGAACAGGGCCAGGCGGGTTTGGGGATCTGAGGGTGAAATGCTACGGGTATGGCGAAGGCATATCGGGTGCTACATGGGCGAGGAGATCTCGGTTCCTGGGACGGGCGAGGGTGGGAGGAAGACGGTGGTGAAGTGAAGGGCCGTCGAGGCAGTTGGCCGGGCGGATGCTGGTCGCAACTTCTTTACTGCCAGACTCGGTCGGCGGCGATGCAGTGCCGTGTAGTCGAGTGCCGTGCCGTACAGTGCAGTACAGGTAGACAAGCAGCAACAAAGGCGCCTCTCTGTGTACTATCTCAAGTGGCCGTCGTCGACGATGGCGGCGGGTCTGGCGGCGGGCCCATGTCCCAGGTGCTGCCAGCGTGTGTGCCCCAAGGCAGTCAGCATCACTCGGCGAAGAACGCGACCCGAGCACGGGCCGGCGTGGGTTTGGCCCTGGCCCTGGCGGTGCCTCGCCACTAAAATTATTATTCCCAGCTTTTGCATTTTCCCCACCCAACGACCCGCCCGCCGAGCGACATACATTCTCCAACATACACACCCATATTCTCCTCTCCCCATACACAAACACATACCCGAACCACACACACAAAAATGGCAAAGGGTCTCCGCGCAAGCAGCAAAAAGGCGAACCGCACAAAGCTGCGCGCCAGAGTATTCGGCCCTGTCGAGCAGGCGCGCATGGAACGCCTGCATGCCAAACTTCTCGAGACAATCCAGCAGCCCAAGCCAGAGAACAGCCAGATGGACACTGCTGAAGACAGTAAGCTGGTCGCATCCTCTCACATATGCCCGCCTGCTAACATAAGCCCAGCCAACACCGCAGCCGAGACCACGACTGCCGCCAATGAGGACGACTTGCCCAAAGGTTCGTCTTTTCTCACTGCTCCCATACCACGCTCCCTGTCCGACCCCTCCTCAAAGCCCCTCGACGCAGCACAAGACGACTGTGACCTCAGGAATCTGTGCTTCCACCTGGGCTTGTGTTCCGATGTCGTTGGCTTCACCACAGACGGCCATCTCGAGTTTGCCTTTGACCCACTCCCTCCACATTGGTCGGGTAAGAATCAAGGGCTAACTCCATCCTGATGTAGACATGGACGTCGACGGCGCCCCCGCTGCCACCACCTCCACCTCCACCAAGAGCTCTTCCAACAAGTCCAAGGACAAGAGCCAGACCCGTAAACAGCTTCGTCGCAAACCCTCCAACAAGGTCTCCTTCCCCACCTCGCGAGGCAAAGGCGCCCTCAAGCCCTTCAAGGGCCAGACAGCCGGACCCGGTCGCATTGGCAAACGACGATCATGATTGATGATTTTCTCCCTGGCGTTGACGGATGGCATTTCCCTGGCGTTTACAAACCTCCTGTTATTTTCTCCGAAAAGTAAGGGCTGGAAAGGATACCATGTCCCCCCCGCGCGGACTTTTACTGCATATATGCGCAATCCATAAATCTATATTTATATGTTAGCACCCAAGCATGTGGCTGACAATGCGACGACAATTGGTCTCAGCTGTTTGTCCCCGTCTCTTCCCTGATTGATACATTTTGTTCTTTTCTTCTTGAACGCACTATCCAATGCGCGAGAGAGATGTGTGATGATATCTTGATGCCATTGATCTTGGGAAGTTGGTGTGAATTTAGATGATGAAAGGGGCTTGAGAGGAAGGTGTTGGTTCCTTCCTTCCAAGCTCAGACAAAACAGCTTCAGCTATGCACACAAAAATTCACCTATGAATTTTCGTTTGGTCACACAGTGCAGTGGCTATAACAACAATATCCTAAATAGCAACTATCTTCACCACTTCTTTCAAACATCAATTTCATAAATCACAGCTCCTCAACTTCTGTTCGCTGCCCTATACTTCTCTTCTCCAGATCCTCCACCACCATCCGTGCAATAACCTCATGTCCCATTAGTCTAAGATGAAAAACCCTCTTGTAGCTATCCGGCAGCAACCAGTGAACCTCATCGCCGAGCCATCCCTCTCCACCAACACCATCATCACCACCCTCCTTTTCCTTATCCTTATCCTTATCCACAAACCCCTTCCCATGCTCAATCTCCCAATCCGGATGCCTCTCCAACGTCTTCTCCACCTCCCTCGCAATCCCACCCTGGAACGAAAATCTCGGCACTGCATCCCCCGTCTGATTCAACAACGCCGTGCTATTTTCGCCCTGATCCACAGTCGCCCACTCGTAGAACGCCAGTCCAGCTCGGTTCGGCGCGGGTTCAACAACACCACTTTCGCAGTACCGGCCCCGTAACTGGCGAATCTCTGCGTCGTAGTCGATGAAACGGACGCCCGGTCCAGCTTCTTTGACTGCTCGGGCTAGAATGCTGTTGACGCTGCGAACCATGTCGTTGAGTTTGCTGCGTAGGTCTCGAGTGAGATATTGCTTCTCCCACTCGACGTCTTTCCATATGGCCCACGTCACGTTGTCACATGCTTCATCGTCTGCACCGAAGAAAGTTGCATATCCCGTGTAATATATGCTGCCATGGTGCGGATTCATCTTTTGCTTTGCTGCGTCGATCAAGAGGCTTGTGTTGTGGTATAATTCTGTCTCGTTGGCGATGCGAGCGCGTGCTTGGCCAATAGCCTCTGCACAAGCGTCCTCGGCAGCCATGTAGAATTGGTAGATGCATGCGCTTAGGATACCAGTAAGCCCAACATCGTTGCCACCCGCTGATATGGTGAGCAGATCGAGGTTTGAGGGCAATGCTGGCACCTGTGTAGCGAGGATTTCGGTGCTGGTGGCGCCGGAACAAGCGAGGAATCTATGAGTGCGGTTTGGATTCGTACCTAAGAGAGACGTGTGCAGTATGTTGGGGTAAGAGTGTGTGTAGCGTGAGCAGAGCCAGTCAAGGCGATGTCCCGAACCGAGACCAGCAGAGTACGAGTCGCCTATTGAAGCAAAATTTTGGATCCATGAGAACTTGATGGTGAGAGAAACAAGAGGAGCTTGATTGACATTGTTAGATGGACTAGTCAGGGTGAGGATACTTAAGATCCATTTGGTTATACTTGAGGATAGCATGGTGATGGGTCAGCGATGGTGCAGTCGCAATGCTCATGGCACACCCAGGCATCCATGGTTTGACAAATATCCTATAGAAAAGAAGCAGTACCGGTGTCTGACTATGTCGGACGCTGTATTGCACGTGTGGTTCAGCGAGCGGTCACGCGGTATAAGCAAAATGGCTGTTTGCGCGAATCGACCAAGCACGAGGTCGTTGTAGCACGGCTACTGGCTGAAACCATCCACGACCCGACACTTACCACAAGTCCGTGGTCAGATAACACTGAATCCATCTGTTGTAACTGCAGTTACATAGCGCGCATTTTCCGCCATAAGATGAGAAATCGCTCGAATATGTACGTGCTACCAAGTTCGCTCAGGTCGCTCGTTTATCTACGATAACAGATCGTCTCTTTGTCATGAATTAAAGATTCTCGAATATAATTTCTCGTGTCTACCAACCCAGAGGTCCATGACTGGTACACTCTGTCCTGCATCCTCGACCGTCTTATCCCAGCCTTCGTCAACCAGCCCACGAATCCTCTCTTGCAGCTCTGCACTCGCCAGCACTGCTTGCGCCTGATAAGGGCCCATGACGCTAGCTCTCACAGCAGCGCTGACCACTGTCCTCGCATGGGAAAACAGAAACAGATAGGCAGCTTGCTGCAGTGGAACATGCAGGATGCTGGTGATGAGGCCCCATAGCGGGGCAAGGTGGGCGTTCATGTGCTCTGACGTGCGGAGGGCGGCAGAAAAGGATGCAAGCGTCTCGACGGCTGTATTCTTTTCTGCAATTCCATTCAAGCTGGAATCACGCATGTGTCGCTCGGGACTGTTGTACTGCGCTCGGAAGCTTCGATCCCAAACAGCGAGCAGCGCCCGGCCCTGTGCTATGCTAGCTCGTCGTGCCACAGTACACGGTGTACTCGCATCAAAGTCATTATCCAGAGTTTCAATCTCTTGTGGATCGCGGTACCCGGCAAATACGTATGGGAGCGACGTGCTGGCAAGCGTTGATAGTGAGAGGCGGAGGAACGTGTTAAAGGCCGGCAACTGTGATGCCGAGGGCGTCGCTGGCTTGTGATGCGCGAGATACGACTCTAAGCCACTGCTAAAAGCAAAAGATCCCAGTGGTAGGGCCGAGTCGGCGAGCAGGAGTAGGGCATGTAGGGCAGCGTCTTGTTCGGCGGGGGAGAAGGGGGGTACAGGCGGGGATGGACCGGCATTGGGAAGCGGCGAGAAAGGGGGAGTCGCAACTACGGCAGCTGGGTTCAGCCGGGCCTTTGCATCTTGAAGTCGTCTTTCGAGGTCCGCTACCTCGTCCAGCAGGGCTTGCTGGTCTTGGGGTAGTGGTTTCATCTTGGAGGTCGGAAGAGGATGCGGCTAGCGAAAGGGTACAACGCGTGGCTTGGCGACATTACCGAACATAGCCAGGGATCCATTCTGGTGCATGCATACGCTTTGCATGAGCACAAAGTAGACTAGGCTCAAAAATGTTCATTGATGTCGCAGCATCTACAGCTGCAAATTCGTCATATTCATAATACTACCCTACTAGGGTGCCCAAAACTCCAATGAGGCCCATTGGACCATGAGACCTAGCCTAGCCCGAACCAGCCCAAACAAACCGGCACCATGGTCATGAAAGAAAAGGGTATACCACACGTGAAACCGCATTTAAAAAAACTCCCTACAACCCAAGCGCCTGGTGGAGAATAGCAATGTCGGCTCTAGGCCTCCGCATCTTGCTTGCCTGCATCAGCCTTTGGGATATCGGCAAACATGAGCGAGCCGCTGCCTTTGCTGGCCTCGAGACTCTTAGAGCTCGCCTTCTTGAACAGCGTCTGTGGTTTTGATCTGTAGCTTGGTTAACTCGCATGCTCAGGTAGACTTAGGCGCATGAAAGCGGACGGCATGACTTACTTCTTCATGGCATGTTTGGTCTTGAAGGCTTGCAGCTTCTGCGTGGCCGGGCTCATAATGTCGTCGGATGGCGAAACGTACTTTGACTCCCTATCTTGGTGTTAGTGTGACGCTATCTTGTTAGGTGCATGTCTGGCGCAACGTACTGCTTGTCATCGAGACGCGAGTGTAGAACCTGACGATGGTACTCAAGACTCTTAATCTTGGTTTTCTCTGGCGACTCCATGGCCTTGACCTTTGTGTTTGTGTCGCGCGCAGTGAGGATGTTGGAAGCCATTGAGGTAAGCTGGATTTGGTGGTGGTGATGCAAGATGTATGTCGCTGTTTTTGCTTTGCTTGTGTAACGTCTATTTTTGCTTTTTTTATCTCTGGTGGGGGTGTGAAAAGCTGAATGTAGTCGGTGTCAAGTCGAGGCAAAGCTATTCCTTTATGCCTTGCCCGCGTCGGGTTGTGGTGGTGACAGTAGTCGACTTTGCAAGTGTTTATATTGGGCATGTCGCGTGGGGCAACGGCAGGGAACGCGTCCTTCACGTCATTACCCGGGCGTAGTTGCCTCCTTCCACCCTGGGATCTCTGCCCGGTGCCGGTTTGGGCCATGACGCCTCACCTGGTTGGCTGTCACTGCCTGTCTCTCCACCCGTGGGCCCTGTCAGGGCTGGGTGAGTCACCGTTGATCCACTCGCCTTTGTTTTGCACAGACAGTCCATACTAATTGCTTTGGCATTCTCTTCCTCCCATCATTCCCCTAACTTGCATACAACCTATCATGTTTGTCTAGCCCACGCCCATTGAAACATTGCTGAGACCGAGAAAGTACCCTCAGGCCATCTAGTAAAACATGCGAACTCATGTCGTCTGAACATGCACACAACTCTGATCGTACATGCTCCCGCGCTGCCAAAACACCAACGCTATGTATGGAATGCGGCCCATGGCCACCCGTAAAACGCCAACGTATCCAAGGCACCCCCTGGTGCTTGGCCTCAAAACTTGGCCTCCATGCTCTTGTCAAATGGTAAGAAAAAAAGGGTACTCAAAGAAATGCAGCTAATATACAGGACACACCGGATACATGGAAAAAGGGAAGTCAGGCAGAAGTCGTAGTAGATATTACAAATGCACGCGCATCGTGTCGTTGCTGCCAAACGCCTTGCCACAGTTAGGGCACTTGCGCGCTCGGTTCGTGAGCCGGTCTTGGACGCACTGGTCGCAGAACATGTGCCCGCACGTCTTGATGACCGTGTTCTTAAGCTTGCTCTTGCAAATCTGACACTGAATCAGCAGTTCCATCGTCGATACTTCGGAGCTCTGGTTGGCCGTGCTCTTCTTCTTGTAGATTTGCACCTGCTTCTCAAGTCCAGTAACTTGCGCTGCCAGCTTGTCTCGCTCCGTTTCTGATTCGCGTTGCGCGTGCTTTGCCGCCAGGCACGTTGCGTCCTTGGCTTCCACAAGCTTCTTGAGCTCGGCGATTTGGCTGACCTGACCCTCGGACGTAATGGCGTTCTCGTTGACCTTTTGTTGCAGCTGGCGGTGTTGAATAGAAAGCTCGTCCATCTGCGATCGCATTTCTGCTGTTTGCTTCTCTAGTTTGTCTACCAGTGACCGACTGAGCGAATCTGCCTCTTTCAACTGTGCCACAACTTCCGTGGCTTTGGTAGATTGGGCGCGGAGGATCCGAATTTGCTGTTCCAACTCGCCTTTGGTCTTCATTGCAGCGAAAAACTTTTGATCCGCCTTAGCCTTGTCTGCGTGTGCCTTGGCAATATTTTCTTCCCATGTCGCAATCTCGGCAATTTTCTTGCTTGCAATTGCTTGCGCCTTCTTCCATGCTGCTTCCATGGCCGGTAGCTCGTTACTCAAGATTTGGGCTTGACTCTCGAGCTTCAAAACCTTGGCCCGCAATTGCTCCGGAGTCAAGTCGTCCAGCCCCGTGGATTGCTGTTCCATGGATGCTTGCTGTTCGGCAATTTGCAATCGCAGTCGCTCGCATTCTGACTCGAGCGCCGAAATCCGGCTGTCACAAGCACTCACGAGTTGTTTTGATTGCTCGATAGACTCCTTGGAATCCTTATGGCTGGCCTCCAGAACGTTATTCTTACTTACAAGCTCGTCACGGGCGTTTCGGATACGAGCGCAGTTTGCTTCTGCTTGTGAAACATGGCTTGCGTGTTCCGCCAGGGTTGTACGCACTTCCTCGTCCACTTTGATCCGGTATGCTGTTCGCTCAGCTTGACTCTTTTGCGCTTCCTCGCGCAAAGAAATGTTTTGGGCTTCTAGGTTGTTGATGCGCTTAATGACGTCTTCGTGCTGACTTTTAATTGCCTTGAACAGATCTGTCTTTGCATAATCATCATCAGAGAGCCCAGTGAGTTTGACTTTCAATGTCGTGATCTCCTCTGTAAGCTTCTTGTTCTCCTGCTCTATCTGCTCGAGATGCTCTTTCCTCTTAGCTGCCTCAGCCAAAGCTTGGTTTTTTGCCGTCTCCAGCTCCTCACTGATTGGTCCTGGTGAGGTGCCGTTGGCTGCATCTGTTCCGTTGCTGGTTGAAGGGGGCTCTTCTTTTGTTAAAGTGCTAGTTCCAACTGCTTGTTGCTCAAGCTTCTGAACCTGAGCACTTTTCAATCGATCAAGTTTCTTTTCAGCAACGAGATAGCGGTGAGTAGCGGTGTCCAGTCGGTCCGACAATTGCTCCTTTTCTGTCGCAACCTGCTGGAGTCGAATGACATGATCCTTTTCACTAGCTAGAAGTTCGGACAGCTTTTTCTGAAGTTGAGCGACCTCGGGGCTGGCTGCAGGGAACTTGGCAAAGAGAGAGGAGAGTGAGGAGAGAATCTTTTCCCTGCGCTTGGACAAGTGTTGCTTGAAGGCTTCATTATCGTCGCCAAGAAGGGCAGCAGGGACTGAGGGAGCAAACTCGGAAGCGGACGATGATGCAGGCAGCTCGTCAGCCCCCCGGAGTTTGATTTCATCGATAAGCTAAGAAGGCATTAGCGTCACCTCAATCAAAACCCGAGGGTATACTGACCTGATCAAACCAAGCATCAATTGTTCGCAGATGGGCATCGTGGTGCTTCGAACGGCTCTCCAACTCGCTCAGTTGTGACTCGACGGTAGCCTTTTCGCGTTTGAACTCGCGCATCTGGCGGAGAATAGCATCCTTCTGGAAAGCCTGTGGTGTTGCAGTGTCAGCAGGGGCGTGCGCCGGGGCCGGTAGCGAAGACGGGCGGTGATCGGGGGAGGGGGGCGAACCTCAAGATCATCTTTCCAGGGCAGGTCAGCGTCGGGGTGAGAGCGGGCCCCGTTGACTGTCACGGCCTGCCTCTTTGCAGGAGGAGCGGCGTCATCGGTGATGGGCCGCTTGCGGTCCTCCATCTTGACAGCGTCAAGCGATGGGGGTGCGACGGTCCTGGCTTCGAGCCTCATCGAGGAGACGCCGGCTGTGTCTGAAGGGGCAGCGAGACGCGCACGCGATCAGACCATGAAGGGAGCAGCGAGCGAGCGGCCGAGATGCAAGCGGACGGCTGGCGGGCGTCGTGATGGCAGCGGAAGAGGGAAGTTGGGGGGGAGTGTCGTGTGAGGCCGTCGCAGCAGGTGGTGAGCGAGGAGACGGTGGGCGTCGAGCGAAGAGAGTTGCTTGGGTGCCAAGCGGGTGGCTAGTGTCGCGCTAGCCTACGCAAGTGTGGTCTGTGTCGGGGGCGCGCGCCGCCCTCTGTTTCTCTCTCTCTCCGTCTCTCTGCCCCATGTGACGACGAGGGACTTGATATCAGCCAGCGCGCCCCAACACCACCATGTCTGCAGACCAAGGCCCCAGCCAGCTGTCGGCTGCGGCTGCGGGAAGTGACAAGGCGCCGGCTCCCAAGGCCGCAGCAACATTTAGTTCCTTCATCAACAGTGCGTCGTCCCATGTCACCCCAAGGCACCGACTGGGCTAAGTCATGACTAGAGAACACGACGGGCAAAAAGTTTGCGCCCAAAGCTGCGCGACGACGGCCAGCCGCTGCCTCTGTGCCTGGCTCGACACCGGCACCAGCATCTACGCCTGCGCCAGAAACACCAGCATCCACTGCAGAACCGCAGGCAGAGCCCCAGTCCTCCAATGCGCCCACCGTCGCACCATCCACTCCTGCTCAATTGCCTACCCCAGTCGCGACACAAGACCTCGCAGTGACAGTCGATCTTACGCCTAGCGACGCTCCGCCAAACCCTGCACCGACCAATGCACACATCCAGTCGCAAGTAGAGAGAAGGTCGCATCCAGCTGTAGAGCACCCACCGGCCCAGGTCTTGACTACCCAGTACCTCGAGGACGACATTCAAGCCGATAGATCGCCAAAGAGACGGCGCATAGAACCCTCCGCAGAGCCGACGCAGCACATCGACGAAGCAAGCCCATATCAGCAGACAGATGCGGCAGGAGCGCAGGATAGAGCACAGTCACCAGACACCGACACTGCGCAACATCTCAGTGACTCACAGGCACTTCCGCAACCACGAAAGAGGAGAAACCCATCTTGGGTAGCGGTAAACCACCCCGTCGGGGGCGATGGGGGAGGAGCGGCTGCTGCTGCACCTGCTCCAGCTTCTCGACAGCCCCCCAAACCACGCGCAGGGAAAAACGCTACCGAGCCCGCCACTGCCCAAGACGGCCAAGATACACCAGATGTGCCAAAGAAAACGAGGAAACTCAAAAAGACCAGGGCCGCTCTGAGCAGCGAGGTTGTCGAGGGGCCTGAGAGCGAGGTCGGACGCATCGCCGACGAGATTGTAGCTGCTGCTGTACAGCGCAAGCCCAAGGCAAGAAGAAGAAAGAGAGCCACCGCCGAGGGCGAGGAAATCGATGGGGTCGAGGGCGATGCTGGTATGACGCAGGAAAAGAAGCGCAAGGGACGACCACCACGGGAGACTACCCCATCAGATGCAGAAAACCAGGTCATCGACCCCGATGTTACCTACATGGACTCTCTCGCTGCCCGTACAGTCCGCTGGGGAAAGCTGTCTGCCCGAGAAAAGGAAATGCGTACCATAGATTGGGAGGCGGTCAAACGGCGTTGGAGGGAGGAAGACTCGAAGGTCATATTCTCTAAAGCAGAACAGGAAGCAGCGGACAGGGCTCTAGCTGAAGCAGGAGCAGAAATCGCTGCACAAGCCGAACGAGGACCTCAACTCCGACTGAACGCAGATGGTATCATGGAGCTGGTACCCGACTCTGGAACAATCGATCGAGGAGGTGACGCGGAAAGGGAACTGGACGCAATGGTCGTCACTGAAGACCAAGACATCACTGCTCGCCTAACGACCCGTAGCTTCATGAAGAACAACAAACGTTTCCCCAACGAGTTTCTCCTACCAGGCCAAGGACGCCGCTGGAATAGCGAGCTTACCGAACTCTTCTATCAGGGCCTCCGATCTTTCGGCACAGATTTCCAAATGATATCCCAAATGTTTCCAGGCTTTACCCGGCGCTCCATCAAAACAAAGTTCACTCGTGAAGAGCGCGAGAACCCTCAAGGCGTCAAAGAAGCGTTGCAGGGTCGTAGCGAACTAACCAATGGTGGCTGGGGCGTCTTCCTTGAGAAATCAAACAAGACAGAAGAGTCGTTTGCTGATGCAGATGAGATCAAGCGTCAGATGGCTGCCAAGGAAGCAGAGTTTAGGGAACGCATCGCGGCCGCTCAAGCAGAGGCGCAGGAAAGGAAACGTCAACGAGAGCTAGCTGGCATTGACGAAGACGGAAATCCATTGGGTGATGGGGCAGCGAACAAGGAGAATGGCAAGGGAAAGAAAAAGAGGGGGAAGAATAAGCAAGTAGAATTTCAGGAAGAGCAGGGTGTGGAGATTGTGGGACATGTTGGTGATGACGATACCTGGGGCCAAGAGTGAGCTTTGTAGGAAAAGGAGTCCATCAAATAGGCATTTCCTAGTAGCTAAATGGGTGATGGGGAATTACCTGAACATGCAAGCTAGCCATGCGACAATACGACTCAATGGTTAATGAAATACGATACCCAGCTAAAGAAATTTATATTGAAAAGGTTAGGCCTTTTCGCTCTGATCACATTGTTGTTCTACTTCATTCGGTGCATTTGTCAAAAACAAACACTGGACACGGTAATAAAAGGATGCGTGGCAGCATGGTTATTAAGAAGTATTGATATTATCGTTATCGTCTATCCATTATCCTTTCCTAAACGCCTTACTTCAACGCACCAAAAAATCTAGGGCATTCTCACATATATCATGGCAATACACCGTTTACTTTGCAGCAAACCTACTCTTAGCCCTCAACTTGGCTCCAAAGAAGTACAGCACATAGACACCAACACTGCATCCTGCGGACAAGCCTGCAAGCAACGTCACACCGCGGTCGACACCCAGATTGTGGAAAAGAGGGTAGGAGAAATGAATCGCACCGGTTGCCAGCGCACTCCTAAGGAAATCGTTGCCAGCAAATAAACTAGCCGCGTACTGGGGGTACACAAGCGGCAAGTAGAGGAAGATACACTGGATGATCAGGAAGATACCGATGGTCGTGATGACGATACCGATGCACGACACGATCCAGTGGATATCCGGGTTACTCGTCCATCCGAAGATGAAGAGGCCAATCGGCACGAGAAAGGTAACAAACAAGGCGGGGATGAGTCGGCGCTCTGGGCTACCGAGACCGTGGAGTCGGATGCTGGGCTCGACGCAGTAGTAGATGTACCACCAGTACCATGTTATGCTGATGATGACGCCGACGGTGACGGATAGAAAAGTTAGACCCAGCTCGCCGAGGTTGAAATGGTACATTTCGTTGTAGACGAGGGGGAAGGCTTCGAAGAAGGAGTAGAAGATTCCGTACACGATTGCTGTGTAGACGGCGGTGAAGGCGATGCTGGGGTCCAGCAGCATGAGTTCGAAAGGGCGCCAGAGAGCTTCGGTGGCAATGGCCCGGGGTGTGAGGTTTGCTTGGTCAATTTCTGATTGGCTTTTTAGCTTGTCATTGCCGGTGAGGAGGCGGAGGCGCTGGGCGCGGCGGAGGAGAATGGTTGCCGAGGAGGTCTCTGGGAGGAAGAAGAAGAGGGCTAGGAAGATGGGTCCATTCATCCAGAGCATTTCCCAGAGGGACCAGCGCCAGTTCTCGGCTGCGACGCTGAAGCCGCTGATTATGGGGCCGAGGGCTGGGCCGCAGGTTGCGGCGAAGGCCCACAGAGAGAGCACGTAGGGGAGCTTGATCAGGCTGTAGATGTCTTGGAGGGTAGCTCCGCCGGTAGCGAGACAGGGACTTCCGAAGAAGCCTTGTAGGAAGCGGAGAACGATGAGTCCGGCGAAGTTATCGACTAGTGCGGTTGGGACGAGTAGAATGACGAAGATGGCGTAGGAGATGATGTATGGTGGGTTTCGGCCGATGACTGGAATCTCACTCAATGGCGAGAACAGAAGCGGGCCAATACCGTATGCCAACACGTACATCGACAGTCCGAGGGAGGCGGCTCCAATTTCTACACCGAATCGTGCCATGACACCAGGTATACTGGGACTGTAGATTGCACTGCCCATGTACACACCCATGGTATACATGAGAATCAGGCTGAGGACGACGGCTTTCTTGCCAAACGACCAGTTTTGCGGGTTGGACTCGTCGTCAGTGTCGTACCAGTCTACCAGTATGGTACCATCGCCGAGAGTCTCGGGCTCGATTGGACGGCTGGGCCCGCGCTCTACGGTTGCGAGTGAAAATTGCTGTTCGAGATCTGCCTGCGTAGTTGACTTGTGCAAGGCTGTTCGTGTTCCTACGCGGGAAATTTGCGTTCGTGCAGTGTGCTGCGTTCTTGCGGTCTGGACCTTTTCCAAATCGGTGGCAGATTCATCTTCGCTTTCTGACTCTCGCCTTTCCACTGATGCTTCTACGACTGGTTCATCACACACTTCTTCAGTTGCGGGACCCTCTTTTTCGATCTGGGGGTCACGAGAGAATTCTGAGCTTAGACGTTTTGGCAATGGGCGTGTGTGTTGAGTGTAGGCTGCGGGTATGACAAAGTCTGGGCGTTCCTCCGGATACTGGAGTAGGCGGTTGTTGGTAAGATATCTTAGGATCTGCCCAATCGGGGCATCCCGAATGAGAGCCGATACCATTTTGCGGAAGTAATTTGGGGCTTTGATTGGTTCGTGTATTCTTATGTAAAAGACAAGGGGTAAATCTGGAAGAAGGATGTTCTTGTGGTAAAGTGTCTGATGATGTTTGGATTGAATTGATGCAACTACAGTCAAGCGACTTTGGACTACATTTATCTTGTATTCAACACACCTCTTCTTCGTGCCGCACAAAAAAGCTCTGCGGACTTGCTTGGTAAATCCATTGTGCCAAGATTTTGTAATGCGGACATCTTACAAAGCGCATGCAACATTCTAAACACCGCACCAAAACCCTGGGCGGGGCA